GCTGAGTATCATCAGCGTACTGATGGAACTCCACCCCAAAACCACTGATGATCTCACCCAGCGGCTTCACATAAATGTTGAACAGGAGGGGCGAGAGGACCGACCCTTGTGGCACCCCACAAACAAGGCGCCTCGGGGTCGACCGCTGCCCCCGTCAACACAGATTGCAATTGGTCGGAGAGATAGGAGGAGAACCACCGCAAGACGATGCCCCCCACTCCCAGTCCATTGTTAGGGTTAGATGGGAAAATTGGCATAATTATTTTAAGGAGACACATCTTTATGTATTTTTTAACCTGTTTGCGCAATTAAAGGAATTACATTGAAATTCAATTAAGTTTTAGCTGGCCTCACCCTGTTTTCTTAATGGTTATACCTCACGACAGCAATTTTGTGGAAGTGCTGCTGACAGTGCAAATACACCCACATGCACCAACAGCTTACTTTTTTTTTTTTTTAATTTGATTTATATGCCGCCCTTCTCCGGAGACTCAGGGCGGCTTACAATGCGTTAAGCAATAGCCTTCATACTTTTGTATATTTATACAAAGTCAGCTTATTGCCCCCACAAACTGGGTCCTCATTTAACCTACCTTAGAAAGGATGGAAGGCTGAGTCAACCTTGAGCCTTGGAGAGATTCGAACCAGCAGTAAATTGCAGGCAGCTGTGTTAATAACAGGGTGCTTTAAACCACTGTAGTACCAAGGCTCTACTTGCTTTTGTAGTACACTATATCTGGTATGAGTAGAGGACCCCCAAGGGTTACCTCTTAACATGGTAAAATAATTCAGTAATTCTGGTGACTCTGGGGGTAAATGGGCAATACAGATAGTTCTCGACTTACCACCATTCATTTAATGAACATTCCAAGTTATAACAGCACTGAAAAAAGTGACTTTTGATCGTTTATCACACTTACGGTTGTTGCAGCATCCCCATGGTCACGTGATCAAAATTTGGATGCTTGGCAGCCGGTTCGTATTTATGACAATTGCAGCGTCCTTGGTTTGTGACCCCTTTGGTGACCTTCTGACAAGCGAAGACAATGGGAAAGCCAGATTCACTTTACAATCATTTACTAATTTAACAACTGCAGTGATTCACTTAATCATGCGGCAAGAAAGGTTGTAAAATTCACTTAACTGTCTTGCTTATTGACCAAAACTTTGGAACAATTGTGGCCGTAAGACAAGGACTACCTGTAATATTTTCTGTATTTTCCCCCTCCCCATTTTTTAAAGTGAATAAATCATTCAGTAAGTTTGCCTGGAAGCAATGCTAGAGAAAAATTTACTCGCTTTCTAAACTACTTTTAATTTTGTGTACCTCCGTCAGGTGTCTCTTTATTTGTCCTCAATGCAAAGCTATAAAGTCTGAGTATTGTCTTTTCTCATAAAGGGGTTGCTCTATTGATTAATGATGAATTTACTGAGCTATCAACTAATAATCCAGTTTACCCCCATCCTACACAATGGGCTGGTAAGTACCGGCTGAATCACTCACTGATCATGCTGGGTAAAGGGCAGTCTGGATGAATGCTTTTGTTTGCTTGCTCAAGCAACATGCAATGATTAGAGCTTCCTTGTTGGCAAAAACCCAGATGATACATGCAGCTCCACTGTTTCAGGGTTCAGTGGAATGTACAGTATGCTTAATTGTGGCAAATATTGTGTGGGAAGTTAATAAAAGATAAGGCAAGGTTTGCTAAAACAGTTCTTAAAAATATGCAAGTCAGTAAGTTTCCTGTTGTAATGATCTACTATTAAATAAACTCTCTTGCTGTTCTTCCATTTCTTTCACATTTTTGGGGTTTTTTGATGGAGGACACCTGCCTTCTTCATCTGCAAATATGCTAAACCAAATATGAACCTACATGTTTTGATTAGCTAATTTATAGGTGGTAAATGAAGTGGCTGAATCAACATAACCTGGTTAATAAAATGAAAATTTAGTGTAGCATTGACATACTGCCACTGCATCCCCCACCTCTGGATTATTTTGTCCTGGTTTGTTCATAAACATCAAGTCACCGTTGGCATTTTTAAGAAATACAGTATTAGCCCAAGCTGATGTTCACCAGAAAGTTGTGACAAGATATTTTGAGATGTTTTCGCGTTCATCTTTCATCTTTTTTTAGATTTTGATTTTTAAAAACAAAATGGAAACTAGCATGTTGCAAAGCAAAACACCAAGCTGGACTCACTACTGCTGCTAAATGGACTCACAGAGCAGGGGTGGGTTCTACTTACTTTACTACCGGTTCGCAACAGGGCCGTGCATGCGCAGAAGCATTCTGATGATGTCGGGGTCAGTGGGCGGAGCCTCCCGCCAGTTTTACTACCCGTTCTATAGAACCGGTGCGAACCGGGGGCAACCCACCACGGTCACAGAGGCTGTAAACAGCCAGCCCTTCATCAATTTCATCTGTTGCAGTTAACAGACCTTCTGGAAGCATCCAATATGTTCACCTCAGGAGAAACTCTTTGGTTGTATGTGCTTTTTCAAGAGGCAACTGGACTTTCTTGTTTTTCTTTGAAGATGTTTTGCTTCTCATTCAAGAAGCTTCTTCAGCTCTTGGTTGTATCTCACTTCCAGAAAGGGAGGGAAGTCAAGGCCAGGCAATGTTGCTGCTTCATCATCATTGTGGATTTGTGGTACTAGCTTCCCTTTAGAATTAAGGCTTGCCCCCATTTGTTACAATCCTCTGGGGGCTCTTTGAAGAGCACTGATGGCTAATGAGCTCTCACCATCTTTAATTTTTACCAATAGTATCAATCACTCTGTACTGTGGAAGTTTTACCTGCTGATTCTCTAATCAGTAAAATAAATAACTTTCAATGTCTCTGAGTCTCATGTAGACTCCAAAAACAAAAGTGCTGAGTGGCTGCAGCCTAATACTTTCCCTTCTAACATAGAATAATTTTGTGACTGGACATCCCTATTATGGCAAACGTTGTGTCCATAATACTCCCGTGGTGGTTTTAAGAAAATGCTCACATTTGGTTTTCAGGTCCCGTCATAAAAATCTGTAATTTTCCTCCAGTATGTCTTTTTATGCACTTTTTAAAGGTTAGGAACAAGTGTCATTAAGTCAAACTGGGATTGCATTTTCTTAAGTGTTTACAAGGCAGAAGATATTTATTGGTTAGCTGGAAGTGACCAGTGTGGTTTAATTGCTGTAGCGGTGTGTGTGTGTTTTATTGCTCATGAACCCTGGATTGTTTGTCCCAGGTCTAGTTTCTCTAATGGTGGCAGGCAGGCAGGATATGAGAGAGGATAAAAACTTGCTTCATTCTACAAAGGGTGATTGATCTTTTTGCAGAAACAGAGAGACATGATTAGATTACTTTTAAAAGGAGCCTGCAGAGATGATTAACTTTGCTTGTGAAAAAAGGCATGTAATGTGCTCCACAAAGAGATGGCTACTGTCACAGGACTGTACAACTGTTTACTGGGAATACAGTATTATTCTAGTATGTTTTACTAGACTGAACCCATATGATATCTCAGTCTCTCTCTTAACATTATAAAGTTAAGTGCAACTTGCCTTTCTCATTCAGTTTTCCCAGTAGAAATCACATGGATCTGATAGGTAGTTCCTGAAAAGGGATATTCAGCCAGGAACCCAAGAAGCAAGAGTGCCTCTGAGAGTGTGCAGGCTGCATGCCTCCATTCTGAACAGCCACAACCATTCCCATCATACCAGAATGCTTTTCACAGTAAAGAATCTATGGATGACAATTTGAAGGCATATAAAGCAGATCAATGTGTGTGTGTGTGTGAGAGAGAGAGAGAGACAGACAGACATGGAGAGGGAGAGGGAGATAGATTTTATAGTATCTAATACCACTAGATGGCACCCACTGGCAATTTTTAAAGATTTAGCCAAACTGTCACAAGATTTTGGCCATGTAATTATATTTTTTTGAATTTTTTCTCCTTGCTTGCAAATTTTGCTGACCTCTTTTATAAAGGAACATATGTTTGGCTTATGATGAAATCAATGATTATTTCTTGTATTGTAATCTAATCCAACTTCCCAAGTTTTTAAATGCAACTCCAATATATTTCTTTTTAAAAGGGGAGAGGAGAGCCATTCCTCACAGCACAGTATGTAGACAGGCAACTACTCGTATCCTTGATCCCATCTTCCTAAAAGATTGGCTGAATGATGTATGCAACCTGTAGGTAACCACCAAAATACTTTGGCTAAGATAGCTAGCTTTGTGCACCCCTGAGGGCTGGGGGGAAAAAAAAGTTGAACAGCAATATAAAATTGGTGCATGCTTAAAAGCTTCTTATTCCCGCTGCTTGAATGCAATGAATACAGGTGGTCCTCAACTTAAAACAGTTTATTTAGTAACTGTTCAAAGTTAAAATGGTGCTGAAAAAAGTGACTTATGACCATTTTTCACCTTTGCAGCATCCCCATGGTCATGTGATCAAAATTCAGATGCTCTGCAGCTGGTTCATACTTGCGGTGTCCCAAGGTCACGTGCTCACCTTTTGCAACCTTTTGACAAGCAAAGTCAATGGGGAAGCCAGATTCACTTAACAACCGTGTTACTAACTTGCAGAACTGCAGTGATTCACTTAACAGCTGTGGCAAGAAATGTTGTAAAATGGAGCAAATTTCATTTAACAACTAAACTGAAATTTTGGGCTCATTTGTGATCGTAAGTTGAGGACTACCTACATTATGTACTTCAAATGTGTTGTTTGATACGGGCAATGCTACAAATGAGAGTTCTCCAAGTTCACTGCAATCCCTACCTTGGCCTGATGCAATTTGGATCTACATCTCTTATCTAAAATGAGATTCTTGTTGGGAAATATTCCAGGCCTGCAGCCATCTGTATGACTAGAGAGGATCTCTCTAGATTAGAACCACCTGCAAGTACAGAATGCAGAAAACTTTCCATTGCAGCAAATGTACAACAGAGGATGGCAGTCGTGTTCTTCGCAATCCTTGCTACAAATTACAAGAGACAACTTTACGAACACTTTCCAATATTTTATTACAATCTCAATCCAGAAAATATCATTAGTTCATGAGATATATACATTCTTACATGGAACGCTCTCCCCCCACTTTTTAAGCAGGTAAATCGTATTTCATATACATGATATACATCAAACATTGAAAAATAAATTCAGGGATTCCAAGGCTATTTGTGTTTCCCCAGACAGTCCCCCAGGCTTTCATGCATACATTTGCTTTTCTTGGTCATACATCAGCCGTGAGCAACAAATACATACAAACCCTCCCAAATGTACTGGCCAAGTGGAGAGATCGGCAAGAAATGCTACCAGGAATTACTTTCTTAGTTCAGTAATCTGCAGTTATTAAGAGTCTGTGCTGCCCATTTCAAAACATGGCGTTAACTTTGTCTACTATCAGTGAGACACAATTAGGTTACACAGAACACAGCTCAGTAAAATGTCAGGGTTTTTAGTTGGTTACATTAATGCAACTCCCTTGCGCTACTGTCATAATGCTGTTTAGTATTTAGAAGTAAACTGATTTTGCAAGTTAAGATGGTAGCAAAATGTTAATTACTGAGTTAAGTGCAATAATGTCATTTTTTCCCATTCTAATCGTGTTCCAGACGTCATTTAAAAGTGGTAACACAAACACCACTTGCCTTTAAAAATGTAAGCACTTAAAGGAAAAAGAAAATCTAGGTTTTTTTCTTTAAAAAAAACCTTGTCGAAAGTTCTTTAACTTAAAAAAAAATCGGCTCATTTTTACTGAATGAGTGTCAGTTTATAGAAAGTATTAAATAATAAGTTCTGAATTGTACAAAAATGGCACACAAGTTTGGAAACAAAGAATGGTTTGATTCTCTGTCCAAAACTGATTGTTAGCCTACCTGGGAAGAGCACTTTTAAAAAATATTAAGGATTTTCCCCCCCTTGGGTAACTACCTCAAAAATGGTTGTACTGGCACAGATGGTATATCTGGAGAATAATCTGGCTCGTTTAGTGTTCCACTAAAGATCACTTTAGCTGTTCCACAGATTAATCAAAGTTCAACATATCCACATCAGTATTCATATAGCTTCTGTGTCTATTCTGAGAGTGGCCAAATACAACCAACAAAGGAAGAAGCTATTGAAAGCAGCCAGAAAGTAATAATCAGAGGACAACATATGTAATTTTGGGCAGTGGCCATCTCAGATTTGTTCGGGCATGCACATGGCCTCTTTCCTTTCCTTACACTATGTCCAACGGCAACACAAATTGTATTATAAAGCTAAGTTGCTCCTGGGAATGAAAGAGAAGGGTATGTTTTCCTTGCTTTTTGTTGCTTCTTTCAGACTTCTCCTGCCTCGTGTCCTTTGAAATCCTCAAATCAGGTTCCAATACATAGTGAATTAAATACATAGTGAATTAAATGGAGCCAAATTAGCTGCAGCTAGTCAGAGGAACAGAGGTAGCAATATTGGTTCTCTATCCTTAAATCAAAGTAAGTATCTTATTAACAAGAAATACCTTTCAAATGCTATTCAGGCTTTTGCCAAAAGACTGATTGGGGATAGACAAGCTTCACATTTCAGGATGGACTGCAATTCCCATCCATCTCCTATTTTTTGTCATGGTAGCAGTTGAGGAGACTTATAGTCCAAAACACCTGAAAAGTTCCGAATTGCTCATCCTCTGTGGAGACCATAATGTACTGCGGTTCTGTTGCACCATCTCTGCATCGGCCATTCTCTTGTGCAACTCAGAACAATTAACCAACCCAGCAGAAGCTGCTCTGAAAAGAAGAAAGACCCACAGACAAATCCAAGTGTCAGTTGCTCTTAATTTGAAGACAGTTCTTCTTGTGACTGGCTTCCGTTGGAACACATTTATTTCCCACTGTATGCAAGTACCAAGAATTCGTTCACTTGGAAAATTTTATTTTTATATCTTGGGTTTTAGAATAGTCTAGATTCCAGAATTATTATGTGAGAAGAGAATACACATTTTTATGCTGAAGCAATTTATATGCAAAATTACATCATACAACACTGGATGACAAAATACTTGGCATGAGACACAAATGGCAAGACAGGACTAAGCACCTTGATCCTATCTTTTACCAGATCTGAAGGGTTTTTTTAAATATATAAAAGTGTGACTCAGGATCAACCACACCGTAAAAGGCATCTGTGGATGGTCACAAAAACTTCTGTCCCAGAGCAGTATTTCATGTTTTTATATTCTTATCAGGAGTGGAATAATTTCTCTCTCATCAAATTTAAAATAAAATAAAAAAAACCTGTTTACTTTACGAAATATAATCATTATCCAACAAAAAAAAAATAATCATCCATAAGAAATGCTCCAGTGCATTGATAGAGTTCAGTAAAGAAATCCGTTTGGTAATGCACACCTCCTTTGTTGGGTAGCTGAATGGATCTAGAGATTTGCTGTTTTCTGCCTTGAACAGTTCTCCAACACAGCTGATTCTTCAGTTCTCCGAAGCAAATGCTATTCAGTCCAAAGCATTGTCTATAGAATGGAGTCTTATATACATTTTCAACAAAACTGTTCCAGTTTTTTCATTTGAAATTATAACAGGCACATTAAAAAAAAAATACAAGCAGTCTGCTTCCTCCAAAGATCTTTTTTACTTAAAAAAAAAAAGCCTGTAAAAATATTCTGCACAACCATCTATATCCATCTAAGAAGGGAAATATACATGTGTAAGAGTTTTATCTGTATATCTGTTATATTTGCAAAACTATCAGTCCTCCTCGGCTGGCCTTTTTACCTCCAGATGCTCTGCTTTGCTGATACAACTGCAAGACACAAAAAAATAAATGAAGCGATCCCATTATTAAAATTGAACGTTTGAGAAACAAAAGGATGATATGTCATTCCATGCAACTGCAGATTTAATGAAAAATAGTGATACTCTTTATGACGATTCCTTCAGAAATAAACTCCAGATTTGGAAGTTGTCACATATTTTAATGATATTTTAAATATATATATACAGTATTTCCGACTAGCACATATGTGTGAGGGGAACCTTTACCTTTACTTACATATTTTAAATAATCCGATATGCAGAAAGTAACTCTTGTTTAGCAACACTTTCTATCTACTGCAAGCCAAAATTGGGATTTCATTATTATGGGCTCCTGGACTTAAAAACAACCTCGAGATTCAACATCCTCCAGCAAAAGAAAAACAGCTTGAGGAAACTAATTTGATTTAACAAAGTAGAACCAAAAGAAAGAGAGAAATACGGAAGACCTGGCTTCTTTATCCTCTTCTTTCTAGGATCATGGTTGAGGGATATACTCAAAGCATTCTAATGAAGGTTCCTGGGATTAAAAATATGATAGCAGAATAATTATTGCAGATTTAAATAAAAGGGCCTTGCACAGGAGAAATAAACAGTACAATATCAGTTTATAGTAATATATTCTCAAAGCATCAGAGACAATTTCACCAATTAAGACCAATTAGGTTTTCCAAGATTAAAATCTGGAGTTTGAGCCTGAACCCTGCTCTGAGTTTATCTAACTCAATGTCATGGAGTAGGAGGTTTTTTTGAGAAGTTACCTTTTTCAGTTGGAACGATTATTCACTATGAACCAGACTGTTTAAAATTATGGTAACTTTCCTTCGAAGTACAACTAGCATTTTTAAAATCAGTGGAATATATTTCCTCAGATGTTTAAACTGTTTTTAAGGACTTTGAATTAAATCCCTTCCTTTCATTTCCTATTCTTTCATTACTTATTTTTTAAAAAGCACTTCAGAAAACATATACAGGCAGTCCTTGACTTACAACCATTCGCTTAGTGACCATTTGAAGTTACGATGGTACTGAAAAAAATGATTTTTAACTGTTTTTCACACAACCATTGCGGCATCCCCATGGTCACGTGACCAAAAGTTGGACGCTTGGCAAATGACTCATATTTATGATGGTTGCAGTGCCCTGGCGTCATGTGATTATCTTTTCTGACCTTATGACAAGCAAGGTCAGTGGGGAAGCCAGATTCACTTAACAACTGTGTTACTAACTTAACGACTACAGTGATTAAACAACTGTGACACAGCAAGTAAGGTCTTAAATGGGGCAAAACTCACTTAACAATGTCTCACTTAACAACATAAATTTTGGCTCAATTGTGCCCATAAGTCAGGGGCCATCTGTACTACTCTGGTGTACTTTCAAAAAATCAGGACTCGTGTTCTTAACCCATGATATTAAAGTGCTTCTCAAGGAAATACACGGAAGTGGAATAAGAAGGAAAGGCTGTAATACATTTACAAGATATGGCCAATACTGTAAAATAAAAAAAATATACAAACACTCTTTTGCCATCCATTTTTTAAAAGTGCAAACACATAAACGAAATCTGGCACACTGAAGGAATTTCGTAGAAAGATCCCAGATGAACAATAAGCACATGTAGGGCAATGACTTTGTTAGTGAAGCTGTAAAGCATCCTGACCTAGTGATTGCACAATCTCTCCCCCACACCCAAATCAATTGAACGGACAATGCTAAACTGGCAACTGCTCAAGCAACTCTTCAAACATGATGCAGTTTGAATAACCATAAACAGAATGTTATTAGTAAACATCCGTCCTGCTCAGCTGCCCCCCACCCCATCCCTTGCCAGGTGTGATTGCTGGCTTTGATAACCATAGAAAGAAAAAAGCCATTCAAGCTCTAAAGAGGAGAGAAAAGTGAGAGGCTAAAGCATTTGCAATTTTCTTGTAGCCGGAAGCTACCCCCACCAATGTAAGAACATTAGGTCTGGAGACCTGCTTGACAAGACCAGGCATTAAGAACAAAAGAGACCTTCAAACATACACACCCTCGGGGTTCAAGCTGGACACCAGGGGATTCTGGAGGTTCCGTGGATTGCCGAGGAAATGCTTGGCTGTAGGTCTGGGAGGTGAGTTTCGGTCGAGTTCCAACCAATCTAAGAAAAATGATAGTTTAATAGAGCTTCCTTGAACCCAAAGGTGCATTTCTTTGATCAGATTCGCTTAGCGACCATATGATTCACTTAAGAACTGCAAGGATTCACTTATCACACCAGTGGCAAAAACGGTCATAAAATGGGGCAAATCTCACTTAACAACTGCCTTGTTTAGCAACAGAAATTTTGGGCTCAATTGTGGTCGAAAGTCAAGGGCTACCTGTAATTTACTTCTGAACCTGAATTTGAAGCCTGATAATTAGGAAGGCAAATATAATCCACAATATCTTTTGCACTTGATGGGTTACGCCAAGATAGAGTCAGGGAAATCAGTAGATCAGCAGGTTTCACAACAGCTTTGGCTCAGATAGACAATACCAATTTTTCAGGAAGTTTAACTCAGGTTAAGTGACAGCTAGTCTTTATGGTGATTGTTTATTTAAACTGAGATTTTTGAAAGCTACGCATCAGGGTTATTATCACAATATTCTTCACTGTTTCTTCTAAAGCAGAGATGAGAAGTTAACACAGATCATATCTCCATAATATTTACTCTAAATTCTAGTCAAGCACAGATCCTGTGTCCAAATGGACACACCCTATGCAGTTTTCTTGGAAGGCTAAGTATGGATTTTTAAAATGTTCCTGGTCTAAACTGCAGTCTCGGAATTCCTGATAGTCTCCTATTCAAGAACTACTGTATTTTTCGGAGTATAAGACGGAGTTTTTAGTTTTTGGGAAGGAAAATAGGAAAAAGAAAATTCTGCCTACCAGGTATTCATCTGGCTAGCGTCCTTAGTCTGATCAGCTTCAGCACATTAGTTTGCTGGTTTTGAGTGCGTGCAAGCCAGGTTGGGGATAAAAAACAGCTTCTAAAGCACAACTGATCTTCAGAGAGAGAAGCAATGAGAAAAAGCAAGTGAAGCGCAGAAGATCGCTTCACTCGCTAGCGCGTTAGGGCTGAAAAAAGCTTCGAAAAAGCTACATTCAGAGTATAAGACGCACCCAAATTTTCAGCTTCTTTTAGGGGAGAAAAAAAGTGTGTCTTATACTCCAAAAAATATGGTAAGTACATTTAGCCTTGTTTAACTTCCAAGCCCAGATAAATAACAGTAGTCAAGTTCTGACACCTGCTGAGACTAATCTGAAAAGTAAAAAAGTACTGTAGAAGTAAGAAAGGACACATATTTCAAATACCACTACCAAGACTACAATGTTCCACACTTATGTCTGTCTGCTGCACAGAAAAATTAAAATCTGTATAAATATCATGCCCATTCCCCCAAAAACAAAACACATCTGAAAATGGACTAGGTTGGATGTAAGGTAACTAGGGTTGAATCTCCTCTTCTTGAATTGTTATGCTTAACTCAGAACCTCCATGGTGCACTATCTTGTTTCAATTTTCTGCAGTTTTAGTCCAGTCAATAATGCACTAAATACTCAATAGGGCTAAGCCTCCACATCTATCCAGAATTTTTTTAAAAAGATGGCCAATTAATTGTTCTTTCACATGCTCCATATATTCAGGGTATACCAAAAGCCCAATCACAATGTTTTATAGATTTAAAAAAAATCTGCAGAGAAAATGTTACTGTACTTCAAAGGTTATGCATTGAGTGTAATGGATTTAACAAGTAAGGAAGTATTTAGAATAAAATAGCAGCCAATTTGAGCATTTAATGAAACTTATAGTTGGTACATTTGTATACAAAAAGGATTTGTTTTTGCTAGTTAGTTACTTCTCTGAAATACGTTTTCACCTTAAGTTTGAATAGAAGTTACTCTCATTCCACTATTTAACTACCATTTCTATGGATTCTATTTACAGCTATCAAAAAATGGTTTGATGGAAACACAAATGATAATACTCTTTTTTCTCACATCCTAGTGTTTTCTAGATATATTGGCTAATGCTTCTCATAATGCCTAGCGACATGGCCACTACCTGTATAATCTATAAAGTACCTCTGAAGGGGTACCAGATTGGGAAAGCCTTAAAACAATTCTCCTGTCTCCCTCCTTTTTCCTGCCCACTGAGTTATATTCTGACCTCCATTTCTCTGGTGAGTTGCCAACTCTTGGCTAATTTGATCCAGCTGCGATTCTGCCTCTGATCTGGCCTGTGGAGTAGTCACCATGGCTCCTGTCTGCTGGATGAATTGTTGTAAATTACATTGCCTGAGTTCCTTATTCAATTCCTCCAGCTCTTGGTTCTGGGCCTGAAAGACAGAGGAGGAACAGGCAGAATAAATTCCAAATCTCGTCTTTATTTGAAATAATAATCTGAAATTGCAGGGAATAAAAGTTTTTTTTAAAACTTCATCTAACCTCCATCCAAAGTTTAACTCTTTTCTCTTTGTTCCTCAAATATGTAGTAGAAATCAATCAGAATTTTCAAGGCAAATGGTAAATGCTATCTAGACACGCCCATCTGATCCTTCAAAAATGGAGGAGACAATTGTCTCTTTTGTTATGGAGACAATTAAATTGGCAGCCCATTGTCTGGTATTACCTGTGATGGTGTTTATTGAGGGAGCTGGATAGATGTAGAAATCCATCAATACTTCAAGGCAACTTATTATAATATGTAAGATATCAAAATGCTCATAATCTCAAAATCAGCTCTCCTCCAGTCAAATTCGTTTTGGCAAAGGCAGCAAAGATAGTCTTGTCCATCTCACACTACATCACACTGGTCAGTCTTCGCGTGTTTTCCTCATTTCAGGGATTTGATTAAGATCAGCTGCTGTAAAACTATCTTTATTTACAAAGTGGAAAAGAGAGGGCCTATATCTATTTTATCATGTACGTAGATAATTCAGTGGACAATGCTAATATTCTACCGTAAAGGAGGAGAAATGCAGGGAGGAGGGCGTATCAGTGCATCTAAAAACATGTTTTACAGACAGACGCTGTTTCTAATGTAGTCCCTATGTTAAAAGAAAGACAGAGAGAATCTAGGAATCTGATAACCAGCAACATTTCAGTAGGAGTAGGCAACAGATTAAGAAAGTATTTAGACAAAAATATCTTTGCTTCATAACTGTGCATCCAGTGGAACTAAGCACCCAGAACATGAATAATACTCTAAATAATGTTAAATAAATTACGGGCTTATTATATAGCTGTGCAAAGAATGAAATATGATGCAGGGTTGCAGATAATTTCAGTTTAGAAAGTTTAGAAAGTCTCATCTTTTGCTTTTCTCATCCATTCATAAGTAGTGAAGATCTTTACTACTTTACTTTAGATAGAGGACATAATCAATTAGTACAGATGCCACACTGGATGAATCTTGGAAGAAGTGAGGAAGTAGACAATAGCTAGAAATCATGTGTGTGTTCCTATGGAGTTCTCATTTAGTCAGCCTCCAATCAAAAAAGGCCAACAAGATAGCATATGTATGCTAGTCATATTTTGAGGAGTGAATATAAATTGTATGATGCAAGAAGAAAAAAAAAAGTTTATTCTGGGAATAAAGAACTGTCTTGAATCTCCCAATAACCTAGTACAATATGTAGTTACACTTTCCTTTCAGCAAGAATAGAAATTTTCAGATGTTTCTTTGATCACAAAATAGCAAACAAAACTTATATCAAAGAAAACATATTATGGGATGTGGCAGATTTAGAATACATCCAATGCTTTAATCTTCATATTTACTGAAAAATAAATTCATTTATAAGACTTCGTTTATGCCTGGCCGGGCTACTACCAGTATACTTCAGGCATTATATTCTTACATGTCCATTATGCCATAAAATAAAAAGCAACATGATCTTTCAAAACAAAGAACTGTGAAGATAAGAGGTTTATATAATTTACAGAATTTCTGGTCAGTATAAACAATGAATGTGCTGATTGGAAATATTGGGCACTGTAGTGCCTCCATATCAGAACCATAGGAAAGGCAAAATTAGCTTACCTCATGCAATTAATGATAATTAGCCATCCCCCCTCTGCTCAAATCTCATAGGACATGAAAGTAGGTAAAATTGTTTTAACAGTCACCTAACTTTTAATTATAAGATAGCTTCATGATGACATGGAGCATATGTAAAAGGTGGAGAGAGAAGAAATTAATATCCAGCTTAAATTAAAAATGCAGTTTAGTTATTATGTTGATTTGCAACCTTTTTGTTTGGATCACATTATCTCATGCTTGAACATAATTTGAAGGTGGTTCCCAAAGAGATCTACTGTAAGTTTTTAATTCTGCTTTTGTAGCACTATCATGGAGAAAACACATGTACAGAGCAGAGATGCAGTGTGGAGTATCTGTTGCCAAACAGTCATTAGAAGCAAGCAAAATCAGAGAAGCATATCATGAACATATATGGTGGAGAACAATCCTTTGTACTCACACATGGCTTGCTAAGAAAAGGATCATTAGCTCTAAGCACAAACCTGCAGATTGTACTCTGCTTCCTCCAAGGCCTTCCCCACTGTATCCAGGCTGCTTTCAAGCTGGGCAGTTTGCTTGGCCTTGGCTTCCAGATCTCTCTTTATTTTAGCTGCTATCCCCTCTAGCTCAGTAGGATTCTGGGTAGATGTTTCCTTGGTCTTCTTGGCTCTCTCAGCCATTTCCCACTGGATTTCTCTTTCCAAGGTCTCTGTTTTTACCATAAGCTCATGGATTTTTTTGGTGTACTCCTCCATTGTGGCTCTCAGGCTGTGCACTTTCTCCCGCCGCTCCCTTTCATGCTCCTTTTCTGATTGTAGCTCATTCTGCCAAAATTCTTCCTCACTCAGCTGGCTCTCATTTTGGTGGATCAGCTGTTCCAGATGCAAAATCTCATCCTCCCGATAAGAACCTTGACTGCATTCCCAATGCCTGATGTCCATTTCCAAGGCATCACCTTGCATCTCCAGGGTGCAGAGATGCTCCTGTTGGTGTAGGACAGTCTTGAATAGCTCCTCTTTAGAAAGTATCCCCCCTCTGGCTCCATCTCTAACACACATCGGGTCCTTTCTGGGCTGTCTCAGCTTGTTTTTGGCACAGGCATCACTTGAATTCATAGGACCCAAGTTGAAGGTTAAAGATTTTTTGGGTTGCCTGGTTCTAGGTACTTCTGTACTGAGTGGTCTAGGTTTAATAGGCAAGCTAGCTCTGACAAACGTCCTCTCAGGTATCTGGGCAGCATTGTCTGAAGAAGGCCTCTCTATGAGGCTGGGGCCAGTACGTTGCAATATAAATTGCACATCCTGAGCATACTGGCCACATTTTGATAGAGACTCTACAGGACATTCATGTGGGAGAAGCTGTCTCTCCTTCTCACGTAGTCTTTGGATGAGAACATAGCGGCCTGTTTGACCTGAGAAAACAAGACAGATATTATGAGGATAAGATTTCCTCCCTACAAAAACACCAGTAAACTTCCTTTCTCCTATCCAGCTATATCAGGCTCACATTCCACAGTAATTTTCCTTGCCAGCCAACACCCATTACCACTTGAAGGTAAAAAGCTTTGGAGAATGGGGCAGCTGATTCCCAAAGCGACATAATTAAGCCAATGGTCTTTTTTTCCTTCTTTAATTGCATCTATATACCTAAAAAGAAGAAAACTAAGATCATGGCTCCCAGCCCTCTCAATTCCTGGCAAATAAATGGGGAAGAAATGGAGGTAGTGACAGATTTTATTTTCCTGGGCACCAAGATCACCACTACAGTGTTGGGGACTACAGCCAAGAAATTAAAAGGCGCTTGCTCCTGAGGAGGAAAGCTATGGCAAAGTTAGACAGCATACTAAGAAGCAGAGACATCACCCTGCCAACAAAAGTGCGTATAGTCAAGGCTATGGTTTTCCCAGTTGCAATGTATGGTTGTGAAAGCTGGACCATAAGAAAGGCTGAGCGCCCAAAAACTGAGGCCTTTGAACTATGGTGCTGGAGAAGACTCCTGCGAGTCCCTTGGACTGCAAGGCGATCAAACCAGTCAATTCTACTTACCTTCCCAAGCCTCCTTTTGGCGTGTGCTGCTAAACCCTGCTGCGCAGCTGATCATCGGAAATACCAGTCGGAAGAACCGGTAGCTTTTTTTTTACTACTGGTTCGCCCGAACCAGTAGTTTTTATCACTACCGGTTTGCCCAAACCGGAGCAAACTGGTAGCATTTTATCTCTGGATTGTAGGGATGCTATACTATCAGGTCAGAACTACCATTTGTTCAGTGCCATCATATGTTGGAACTGTCACTGAAGAAGTAGTTCACCTGTATTTCCACTCAACATTTAATCTCTATTTTCTTCAATAGAGTCCTTTTTTCTTTCTTTCTGTAGTCGTTCTATAGCAGTATTTGCACTCAAGTTTCCTTTCCTTTTATGCCCTTTCCCCTCCCCCTATCTTCTTTTGACTGTATGAATAGCAGTCTGTCCCAAATTCAACATCACCTTCTCTCAACATTTCATTATAATCAACCAATTCCATTTTCTTTCAAGATTCTTTCCTTTACCGTCTGAATACATGAAAGGACATATGTTTAAACTATGTATTTAAAACAAACAGCTTTTAAAACAAACAGCCCTTCTTCCAACCAGTTATTCATAATCATTCCCATTCATGCCTGGTCACTTTCCCTCCCTTGTACTTTCCTTTTATTTCCAGACTTCTATTCATGCCATTTAACAAAAATCCATCCCACCCTACCTCAATTGCATTCATTCAAAATGTTATATTCCCAAACTTCAATCTTAATTTGTAACATAACTTAAACACTATTACCAACCCTTGAATTCCTACCTATATATTTACCTAAACCAATCTAGATAAGTCATATCCTGTACTTTCTGATACTGAATTTTGCCCTTTCATTAGTAATTAAATTTACATCCTTACTTCCAGGCATCTATTCATGAATTTCATTCCACAATTTCAGAAAATACCTTCATGCAAATCTATTCTGTCCTTTCTTAATTTCATTAAAAATAAATCATTTGTGAATTCAGGATTTTTTATCTTTCATTTCTTTTACATTCCACGTAGTAAACATCTGCATATCACAGTCATTGCTTACTGACCTCTGATATGGTTTTCTTGGTTTTGACATAATGCTTTTTAGTAAGATAAAGGAGCTGTAGTCTACGTGACCAGCTTTTGTTACAGCCATACCACATGCTGTGTTCCATGTTTGTATTATGAACAGTATCAGTCAGTTCTGGCATATTTTGGCCAGCATGCTATGAACACAACCAAAGTCCAGTTTTACCCTAGACTTGGCATGATCACCCCCGTTCAATGCAAAGTAGAATTCCAATCTAAAGACTATCTTGTAAGCCAATACAAAGTTTTCCCCTTTGATTTTTTTTCCTGCTGCCACATGGTCACATGAGTGCAAACAATGTAAGGAAGGTGCAATGTAAGGGAGGAGAAAAAGGATTTCACAGCATAAAAGGATATTCTTAGTTTGTGAAAACAAACCTTTATTAGTAAAATCTGTTAAAGATGGAGCAGATGAACCAGTAGAAATGAGTATTTGAAATAATTTTGCAAAACTCAGCAACAATAATTTCTAACAGTGTTTTTCAACTTTGGCAACTTTAAAATGTGTGGACTTCAACTCCCAGAATTCCACAGCCATAATTGTGGGAGTGGGAATCCATATGTCTTAAAATCGCCATGGTTGAAAAATGCTGCTTTAGAAGAAAGAAATGTCGACAAAATCTACACCACATTGTGAAAAAGCATCTATCTAATCATTCAAACTGTTGTATTTATGCAATTGTCAATTGTTTACACAAACAATTTCCTCTTCCCTAAGACATGGATATCACATGAACAAAGCACTATTTTTCTAATCATTTTTTAAAAAGAGTTTTGGACAGGAGATTATTCTGCAATTCTATATACACTTATGTTGGAAGTAAATCTCCTCAGTGGTAGATGTTTCTAAGTAAACATGCTTAGGCCTGGACTGCATAAATCCTTTTAGACATCATGCATATAAAAACTACTTACCAATGGCCCGTGCCAGTGCTATGACAACTTCCTGACACGTTGTCTGATCTGAAACACCACATACAATCCGCTGGACTCCATCTACCCAGACTTTCAACTCCATCACAAAAAGGTAGAGAGGATTAAACTTTCTGGATCATTTCTGTGATTTGTTCCTACAACAACAATTAAAAACACAAACAGAAATGTAAGCACAATATGTTTTTTAATTTCATTTACATGTAAGCAGTATGGAGCAAGGAAACATAGAAGCGATGCTTTGGAATGCTTGAACATGTCTTCTTTCCACACTTCACATTTCTAGCTCTTTTGCTCTAAGAGTTTTAGTTCAGATGAAAGGATTAGCCATAAACAAACAAAACTTTTCAGTTTCAATGCTTCATATTCTATCCACTACTCCAAAATGTTACATAATATAAATATGAATGTTCAATAAGCCAGCAACGCCTGACTTGAATCTTTAGAAACCAATCCAATTATGTTACTAACTACAATTAGGCTATTTTTGCTTGTGTATGATTTCTCAAATACAAAACAGTATTGGGGCCTTAAATCAATGAAAAGTAACAGGACTGGTACAATGTAATTCTATTTTTTTTAGCCATTAGCTCATTGCAATAATGAGCAATACATGTTGCCTGCATGCTACCTGTAAGCAAAAAACTGCTGAAATGAAATAAATTGCTCAGTTTAAGAGGCAGCTGGTAAGCTGTGGAGGTGTAGTCAACTAAACATATATGGGTATATAGTGGCTTTAACTTCTACTGCACATACACATATAATACAGCATAAACCACTAATGCCATAGACCTAGAATACGCCAGGCAGCAAAAATACCTGTACATTAGGTGACATGCTATTAATTGCCAGAAATAGGTTTTGCGTAAATATGAGCTATTATTAGCAGAGAGATTAGTAAAAACTACTAATGTCACTTCCATTCTCTTTAAACATCAAATAAAATGATTTTATCCCTAGCATTAATGCCGTGCTTTTCACATTTACTTAAAGCTTTGGAAGAAAAATGAGTAATTCAGTTGTTTTTTCAATTCCAGAGAAACTGGATTGGGTTGGAGAATGAAACAGATCCATTCTAATAACTTATAACAACTTATAAAGAGCTAAAAATTAGTACAAAACACTTCACAAAGCATTTCTGTGAGTTCTCCATTTCTTTCTTCCAATTTTAATTAAATGTAATTGGCTTAGTTTTCCGGTATCTCAAATAACAAAAACAAACATTGCATAGAATTAATGTTGAATAATGCAAATATGATATAAATGAATCAACCATCAAAACTGAAAATTATGAAGACTTGGAATTTCTGGGCTGATCATCAACTTGTTGGAATTTAGCCCTGACCAAAAAACAATACCGCACCTGAAAAATGCTTCTCCCAACTAGAACAACATGAAGCAAATACATGACCTGAAAAAGGAGAAAACAAATGAAACAAAAACAATAGTCAACAACTTAATAGCCGGCAATCAACACCACAATACACAACTAAAAAGCCACACACAACCAGGCATCATATAAATACCACACACAGAATTGTTGAAAGCACACACTCTGCTAGAGAGACATTTGCTCCAGCATGAGTCCGAAAGCTCAGAAGCCTAAACCTCTGGCCCCAGTGACCAACTCAGATTGGATCCATTATCCTGGGACACATATATTTGCCTTCATTTGTAATAGAAGAACAAAACAGATCCATACACACAATGTCTGCAACCTGTTGAAAATGCTTTTTAAAAAGTATTATTTATCTATCTCAGCTTTTTCTCACCTACTTCAAGAACCAGGTTTTAAGCCCTGTGTCTTATTTTGTTGATAAAATGGGCAATTTTTAATAGGCAAATGGAAGCCAGCATAACATAATCCTCCTTTAAGGATTTTTAGTGGCTAAGAACAAATAAATGTAATTAGGTGTAGATATTTGTATAGAGAGGGAAAAAGGAAATATTGGGGTACAACATACTTTAAATTTGGGGCATCTTAAAATACTCCACTTTAAATTTAAAATGCTCTGTTTTGAATTTAAAACAGCTATTGTGATCTTGCCAGAAGTATTTTGATATTATTGATACTCCTGGAGGCTGGATACAGATAGAATTAGAATGAACTAAGAACTGAAGGATGAAGTTACTGGTAATTCATCAGAAAATCTTGTTCCATGACTTCAGGATTTCTAAAAAGTACATTTTTTAAAGAATGGTTGTCAATTTTTGTTGGCAATGTGAGAAATTCAAAGGCTCTCTGACTTATCATCTGATCTGTTCTATTCTGGTTCTTTTTTGGTTTCAGGTCCTCACTTCTGTAAATACAATTATGGCAAAAAAAAAAAATCTTAACTGTCATGTAAATGTCATGCTTCAAAAATGTAAATGTCATGCTTCAAAAATACATACTTTGCCACTGTATGCTACTGTGTATCGCGTGGCTATCAAACATGAGTATTATGTTATTGTTGCTTTATTGGCTGTTGTCCTGATAGTTTTATCTTTGAAATTTTATTTTATTTTGGTTTAACTTGTTTATAAACTGCCATGAATCTATATGATTTAGAAGCACGTCTATTGTGAATCGATAAATAAGAGTTGAAGATCTATTCTGAGGTCATATTGTTTTCTTAAGCTTTGAGTCCTTTCTGTTTTGGCTGCCATACAAGTCAAATAAAGAAAGAAATGTTTGCCCCTAGCCAAGTCAGAATACTCCATTGGAATGTTTTCATGGGGATGTTTTGTTCTGGGTGTAAAGTGAAACGTATTTCTTATTTTTGCACACTTATATTCGCATGGATATTTCCAAAATCATCCTTTTTCAGGGACATTTCTTTAAATATCATGTGTATGGGAGAGTCCCTCAAACAGAGGAACATTTTACCAGAATACATCACTGTTATCTAATGGATGAGAAGATTCATTTCAATTTCAGGATGCTGATATGTGCGGTTGAGCAAAGTCCAAAGGCACAGCCTAATAGGAAACAATCAGGCTTGGCCAACATACTTTGGACTCAAATGAATAATAAACAAGAAGCAGCAAATATAGAAGCATTTCCAATGACAACAAACTAAAACAAAAAATTATGTAATAAATATGTATAGAATATTATATTTTATAGGAAGCATCAATATCATTTTAGAACAAAACAAATGTTACTCAATCAGTAGCAGAAAATCCTTAAACTGAACTAAAATATTAACAAAACAACAACAATTTTTTTCCCCTCAGCATTCTCTTGAACCTGAATTTAATGAATAGGGTGTATTATATAATTTTTAAAAAATTAAAATCATAGCAATTCACTTCAGAATTACATACTATTTTCCTCTACAAGCTATTGGCTATGAACTATTAAAGATCACAGACATTCTTTTCCTGTCCACTTAATAATCCACCCAGCCATTCCTCATGAAAAATCCCCATTCCCAGTTGATCTGCCTCTATAAACTGTTGTAAAGAACTTCTTGACTTTTGACTTATAATCTTATTATATATTATATTCTTATTTATGGTGCCAAATATAACCTCTCCCCACCCACTCATGAAGGCACTGTGCAGAAAGCTGAGCCAATCTCTTCTGAACAATAAATGGAAAGATACTATAAATAAATACCTCTATTAACATCAAGTTGTTAATGAAGCCACTTTTGGACTTCTTGAACTACGAGATATATTATTTTGATTTTGGGATTTGATGATTAGAATTGTATGAGATTATAGAAATAATATAGACTACTGATAATTTTAGAGTAAAATCTGGATATATTCTTTATCTATACCAAAAAAAGTTGAAAGGCATTCTTCCTTTACTTTTTTTTTGCACGTTTTTGTTGCTTTTTATCTCTTTTTTTCTTATTTACTTTTTATTCATGTTTTTGATACTTAATAAATTATACCTGAAAAACCTATCATAAACTAAGATAACAGAGAAGTGTTCTTAGATAATTACTTTGAATTGAGAAGTTATTTTCTTCTGCCACTTTAAAAAAATGTTATCTGTACCATGCCACAAAACATTATAAAGTTGCATCTTCCAAAATTTAATAATTTGTCAGAGCTCTAATTTGAATCTCTAGTATGTTCCTCCGGTACTGGAAAAAATATTAATTCACAAATTTGTGGTCATTTTTCCAATCATGTCTTATTGATAAATATGACTGCTCTGTGTTAACAGTACAATTCAATGGAATTGACACTGTACTGTATTTTTCGGACTATAAGACGCACTCCCCCCCCCCTCAAAAAAGTGGGTGGAAATATCTGTGTGTCTTATAGAGTGAATATTGAAGGGGGGGAGGAGAGGATACTGATCAACTGTTCTAGCTGGCGGGGATCGCCACCATCATTGCCTATCACTGCCGTCCATTTGCCGATGATTGGCAGCAAATGAGTGGTAGCAAACGGGCCACAGTGATCCCCACCGCCTAGAATAGCTGATCGGCGGTATTCCAGGAGGTAAATCCAATTACCAATCAGGTCCAGTGTTCTCCAGCGGCGGCAGTGGCTCAGCTCAGTTGACCAGTGGTAGGCGCAACAGAGAGGAGCCCTGCCGAACTACGGGCTGGGGCTGCGATAATGTGCTGAAACTGACCAGTCTGTTTGCTGCAAGGACGCCAGTCAGATGAATACCGGATGGATGCTGGTATTACTTTACTGTACTTTAAATATAATAAAAGAAAAATGATTTAAGCTTTTCAAGAGATTTTGTATAAATGTCATCACCAGGGAGGAGGAACCTCAGAAGTTTCAACTCAATCCATAGAGCTAGAGCCTAGAATAACCCAGCCTAGCACCTCCCATTGTCACATTATGGAGAAGTACCCTTTTACAATTGTTGAAAGACAGAAAGCTTAGCAAATCTACATATTCACTTCTTGAGAGAGATAAAGATACAGTTGGGGGAGGTGGTGGAAGAAGAGAAATATTGAGTGCATAAATAGCAGGAACCTGCAGGTGTTTTAGCATCCAATCCAATATATGCCATATATATATACAAGTAACAGTGATTGCCTGTATGTCTAGTATATATACCACTATGCAATTAAGGGCTTTTGTGCTTCTATATAGTCCCCTCTCCTAAAATGAATTACAATAACTGAAAAGGGTGGGGGGGAGGGGCTTTATTACTTCGTTTTATGAATGTTCC